CAAAACGAACTGAAGGCAAAAAAAATTGAAAAGAAAGCAAGGCGTCCAATTTGACTAAAGCAATTTTAACTTTAACTCGCTGAGGGCAAATTCGAAGCCCTTCACGGAATGCCCACATTCAGCAGAAAGCGCAAATATACTTATAAATGAGACGCGGTGCAACAACAACAGCAACAATAAGCGCTGTCTAGGTGCAGCTGCAACAACACAAGCAACAATAAAAATTAATAAACCTCAAGCATTCAAATTGTTTTTCACGCGGACTCGCACTCATGAGCTTACGCCTGGCCGACGGACGGTCTGTTTATGTGCTCCTGTCCGTCCAAGCGGCCGTGCGTCCGTCTGAGGCTGTCTGGCAAGGTTGCGGAGCATAACAAACAAACATACTTATATACGTATATATGCGTCGCAATGAACGTGAGTATGCATGTATGTATGTATTTATAGGTGGCTGTGTGCCTTCGTATTTATGGGCTTTTTGTGAAGGTAACCAAGTTGCGGCTGGCAGCGTCGCGCCGTGCGCTCATTTGCGAAATGTTGCACCTTAATGCGAACAACACATTTTCCCGTCAAAATAATGTCTGGCCCAAAGGTGATTGAGTTTTTTACATTGTCGGGCAACGTTACCAACGTCTGTATCTATGTATGTATATGTGCTGTGTGACTGCGCGCGCGCATGTGTGCAATGGTTATTACCACATTGTTGCCGTTGTTGCAACGCGTAAACAACTGCAGCGACATGACCAAGCTGTGCAGGCGCTCCGAAACGGCTGCCACGAGACGACCGGTTGGCTGTATACACCGCAGACACATTCATTGCCGGTCGGTCGTTATGTCTGTCTGCCGGTACGACCATACGTCCGTACTGTACGTCGCGGTCACAGCCGCATAGTGTCAACCCAAGCCATAGTCGTCGTCGGAGTCGCAGCAATTCGCGCTTCGAGTCACAGTCGTAATCGCGGTAATCGCTGTTGCAGTCTCGTCTGCAACGCCCATTTTCAATGTTTTGCATTTCTTGGCTGCACGTCCACACGGCTACCGTGTTGCGCATGCGCACGCGCACACCACCTTCGCGCCGTTATCTCTCGGCCTTTGTGGCGTAAAAGGTTCGCTGCATGCATAATATATGACCGTTGCATTGCGATGATACAATCGCTCTCTCTTTACTCGCGGCGAATTCTTCACGGCACACCGCCATACATACACATATACATTTGTATGCACATGTGTTGTTGCACATCGCACACCCGCCACAGGACGCAAATGCGCCAGACAGTGAAAAACAACCGCATCGACGCTTTTACATTTGACGTCTGCTTTGTGCTGCATGTATTGGCCTGTGGCCAGTCAGCGAACTTTACCATTCGACAGGTAATTTTTTACACCAGCGTGTCTGGAGGAACGCATGCGCGTGAGTGCGCTCGCGCCATGTGGCCATTGTCGTTCGCAAAGTTGTTGTCGTCGTCGTCGTCGTTGTAGTCAGCCGTCGCACATATTCACAGTCACACTCCTACGGTGCTGCGTGAAGTTTTAAAATGTGCCAGACGCATAAACAACAAACAAGGCACATGAAGGAGTTGCAAAAAGAAATATTTAAGTATTCACATGCATACCTACATTTACGATATGTATTAGGGGTAACATTACAACAATGTTGCAAACAAGTCAAAGAACTGTTTAATTTGTGGTGTCCATTAATGACGATATTTTTCATTTCTTTCTCTTTTTAGGGAACATTTAAGTTATTTTTTGTTTAATAACAACTTTCTTCAGTATTTTTGAATTTCTCTTCTTCTGAGTTTCCCTCCTCTTTTTTGGTGTGAATTTTTTTCGTAATCGAAAACAGTCAGCCGTTTAACATTACTTGCCGTAGAGGTTTATTCGAACAAAAAATACAATAAAATTAGATTTAATTAGATCTTTCTTGGAGAAGCAGATAGTTTAGTTTCGAAACTGAAAACAAAAGTGGTCCCAAGTACACCGAGGTTTCATAGCAATTGCTTTTTTCAGACCTTTAAAAAATTCAAATACAAAAGGATTCCTTGACATTCACTGATCTTCACCCGAAGCTGTTTTATCCGTTGACGTGGAATAATGAAAAGCCTCATTTTTCGAATATTCAAAAAAAAAGTCTGGCCAAAATATAGCGCTTATAATAATAACTTTTATTTTATTTTTCTCCAGTAAATACGTTGAAGATTGGAGTTTGTCGGCAAAGTGTCAAGTGAACCCAGTATAGACCGAGGACTTATGGCTTCTCTCATGTTTAGAGTTTAATTTCTAAGTGTTACACAGTAAGATTCAAAAGTTTACAGAACTTTTTGGCTATAACGACAAGATACCTTATTTTAATAACCAACAGGTCCCAAAGAATACAGTTGTTGAAGAGAAATAGACTACTGCGAATTTCTCGAATCGCTGCGTTGCAATATATTCAAAATCCAACCGTTTCCTATTTAGACATCAGTGATTGAAGTAGCAATATCTTACCATAACGAACCACGTCTTATTTAATGACAGTGGTGCCATATTGACTTTTTTCACCAAGTTGTCTTTTGGATATAACGGTCCATTCGTATAAGCGTTGCTCGAAAGTTTATAGAAAACGATGAAGAAGTAAAGAGATTTATTTTCTAAAAGGTTGCAAAACGCGGCAGAAATATTGACAGAATCATCAGTATATCACAATTATTGGGCTTGAGATTTCTACTCTAAAATACTTGTATGCAATGTAAGCCAAAACATATAGAAACAGAGATTAAGTCAGTTTCGTTTCGTTACCTTCTTGGGAGTGTCTATGACAGCCAAATGCATAAGTTCGTGACTTCATCAAGGAAAGAAGGGTTCTTATAATTGCTATGAAAGTTTGAGATTTCGTACCGTGCTTATAACGTGGCGTGTCACAGCCTTCTAACGTTATTGATGAAAAATAATTTGTTAGTTGTAATTGCTTACCATGTTAATTAACAGTTCGTTTGATTGGTGAAATTGGTGAATCTCTCTTCCCTAAGTTTTCTAAATTTACAGTTGTCAGCTGAAATTTCCCATATGAATGTAGTTGGATAGAGAATAACTGCCTTATTCGCATATAGTAGTATCTAATTCACATTAACTAATTACAACCATTTCTGACGTGTGTCTGAATTTAATGGAGAAATGTCAGTTATTGCCAATTTATAATCGCGAATTTTGGCAATGTTTGCTTTAAATTTTAAGTTTTTCGTAGAACAACTTTTCGTGTTGTAAATCATACAAAACAAGCGTGAGGTAGTAGAAAACTTCGATTTGACCATCAACCGCTGATAGTGATGAAAAAGTTTACTTCAAGACCATCGTGTTTGAAGCGAATCCTCACTTTCTTTCAAAAAAAAAGATCCTAATAAACGACAAAATTTTATTTTATTTTTTTTTAACTACCTGTTATTTCGTAGCAGCAGCTGTAAATAAAACAGCTTTGAATTATCTAGTGGGATCAGAGAGTAGAGATTTGAACGAAGCAAAACCCTACGAACTTAAAAAAAGTAGTGGATATTTTGACGTGAGAACTTTCGATTGGGTAAGGGTCTTGTAATAAGTCAGTAAGATGAAAAAATCTGCAGGCTGTTTGGGACACAAAATCGTTAGTATACCAGATATTTCTTGAAAGAAAAAAATTGGTTATTGTAAGGTTATGTGAAAAATGTGTATATGGAAAAAATGTAGATCTTTTTATACTATCGCAACATGTTGCAACAGATGGTATAATAGTTATAGGGTTATATATATAAATGATCATGATGAAGAGACGAGTTGAAATCCGGGTGACTGTCTGTCCGTCCGTCTATCTGTTTGGGCAAGCTGTAACTTGAGTAAAAATTGAGATATCTTTATGAAACTTGGTACACATGTTTCTTGGTACCGTAAGACGGTTGGTATTGCAGATGGGCGTAATCGAACCACTGCCACGCCCTCAAAAACAAATAAATTGCCATAACCAAGCTCCACAATACGATACAAGACTGTTATTTGGTATACAGGATCACGTTAGGGAGGGGCATCTGCAGTTTAAAATTCTATTTAAAAGTGGGCGTGGTCCCGCCCCCTAATAGCTTTATTGTGCATATCTCCTAAACTCCTAAAGCTATAATAACAAAATTTAGTGAAAACGAACATTTTTAGCACTTCTATCGAGAGTGTGAAAATTGGTGAAATCGGGTGACAACTCCACCCACTCGCCATATAACGGTACTGTTAAAAACTACTAAAAGAGAGATAAATCAAGCACTAAACACGCCAGAGACATTAAATTTTATCTCTGGGATGGTATGAGATGACTTTATAAGAACCACGTTCAAAATTAGAAAGTGGGCGTGGTACCGCCCACTTTTAGGTGAAACCCCATATCTTGGGATTTGCTTAACCAATTTCAACCAAATTTGGTGTGAGTGAGGTTACCCAAATATTCATATAATACACTGCAAAAATGGGTAAAATCCGATTAAAACCACGTCTATTTCCCATATAACAATCTTTTAAGTTCCAACTGGTTCTTTCATTTTACCGTATACAAATCAAACATCAAAGAAGTTATCAGAATATAACTTTTGCATAAGTAGCGGTCTCAAGGTATTTCATCCCACGCCCAAAAATTGTGGAAATCGGTTTATTACTTTTCAATGGCTCAGACACTTTATATGTGGACCCCAGTGCATAGGGCTGATTTTTTTATCGAACATATCGGTCAGTCTGTGATGTCTAGTACTGAAATTATGGGAGAATATTTTTTTACTGACGGCGCTCGCTTGTACCAAAACTGGTGAAATCGAGTCAATACTTCCCTCAGTCCCCATATACTTAATATACATATTTTCGAACTACCGCTTGACCTTTTAATCGAGATAAATAGTTTTTAAACCTTAAAATTTCTAGATAAATTCAATGTATCTTGACACTTAATGAGTGGCTTTTTGTTTAATGCTTTGTATATCTACATTATTTCTATATTGTATTTGCTTTTGCAGACGATCGTCCCACTTGCAGTGAAATCAACTGCGGCCGCAAGCACACCTGTCTGGTGGATTTGCTCACGCTGGAGCCGCGCTGTGTCTCCTGCAGCTACAAATGCGCGCGCAAGCGTCGACCAACGGTGGGTGCAACATCAATTACACACATATCATATAACATATATTTTAACAGTATTTTATTTATTAAAAATATTCAATAATTTATGAACTTTTGCAGTCGCTGCGCTTTGAGGAGGGCAAAATATGCGGCGTCAACAATCGCACATACAATTCGTGGTGTGAATTGCGGCGCGACTCCTGCAACACCGGCTTTCTCATTGACGTTAAAGCACCTGGCGAATGTCATTAAAGATGAATAACGGTAAAATTACGTTTAACAAAAACGAAAAGGAAAAACAAAAACAAAAAGCATAGAACGGCAGCAAAAATACGAAATATCCATTTATAGTTGTTAAGAAAAAGGCTTTTAGAAAAAATCTGTAGTACTAAATTTACCAACCCACATACATACTATCACACACACACACATACATATATGTGTATGAAAATTAAACAACATTAGTTCGTCTTCCATGCAGCATATCTCCAGAAAGCTCAACTTACGGCACTTTTACATACACTCACACATTAACAGTTGTATGTGTGTCTGTATGGGTTCGCTTTGACCGCTCAGCTCCTTTTTGTGCCGTACACCCCGTCAATTTGTTCGTTTTCCACCTTAGTCCTTAGATGCTTCCAAAGATAAAGTATGTTTATGGTAAATGTCACACATACATACAAACATCGATATTGACAGTTTTTAACCTATTTATAATAGAGTGTAGTAGAAGAATGGCTTAGTTTATGACGTGCATACATAACTAACGATGCTGTAATTAAATAAGTTAGCCAATTTAGAGATTTACAACGACTTATAAATGCTTAACGCCCACACAAACACACACACATACGTACATATACATATACACATATACATATGTATGAATAATTAAAATACATGCGTATATGAATATAAAAGTCTTTTATATATCTACTTAAACACCCTTGACCATAAATCTAAACATTACAACAGAAAAAACATATCTTAAGAGGCTTTTAAAATAAACTTACACACACACACATACATACAAACCTACATACATATAATGTAACGAAACACATACACATGAACACATAAAATTTCCATTAAACACACATACATATTTAATTAGCGTAAATGAATTAGTAGTGTAAACAAAATCTATAGAGTATAATTAAATAAATTAACTTATTAATTATTATAATTATAATTATGAATTTTATTATTATTATTAATTGTCAGTGTTGAATTATTATTGATGCTAGTACTCATATATACATATACATCAGGGTGGGACAAAAAAGAATTTTTTATTTTTTTCCCTTAGATACTGTGAAACTATCGTCTGAAATGCGGAAAAATATTCTGGCAAGCTCTTAGTATTAAAAAAAGGTTGTTTTTTTAGGCATGTGGTTTTCAAAAAAAAATTTCTCGTTTTGAGCCCTTTCATCGAATGTGCGATGCGCTTGATGGTCGTTCGGCTTCAAATCTCGCTCATTTGAATTTGCTCATTTTGTAAGCCCGCCAACCAAGACCCTTCCACAAAATCTTTCATAAAGTGGATGGGCAAAACTCCAATTGTTGTGCGCAATAGCGGATAGACTCATGAGGGTCTTCATCGGTCTCTGCTCCACAGCAGGAGTAGCGTCCTCGGTGCGCACACTGTACGGCGTCTTCGAGAATGCTGTTCATTATGAAATTCGAAAGAAGTATTGCCTTATTAAAAACGATATTTTTACGGTATCTAAGGAAAGAAACATACTATACTATTGAGCCACCCTAATATTCATGTATATAAACACATATATATATATACATAAATAGTTATATGAACAAGTATACATACACACACATACATATATGCACTCGATTGTATTAATTAACAATTAAATTTTAATTAACTGACTGATAGATTAACCGCAATAAATTAGTGTGAAATTTAATTGATTGTTGAAAGTTGTAATTTAAATTAGCGCAAGCAAGGAAATTATTATTACTTATACATATGTAACACTTAATTACATAAAAATAAAAAAATATACAAACATACTTAACTAACCCAACTCTCTATGTGCGAATATTAAAGAAATTTAAATAAAGAAATTAACTAAAAAGTAGCGGAAACACAATTCTTATTTTTATTGTTCTTGTAGTTCTGGGTAAAAAAGCTCATTCAACATATTTAAATAACGGTGCCCATTGACAGTTACTGTTATGCCGTTTTCTTTAAAGAAGTATGACCAGACAGTATACCTTGATGAAACTGCACCCCACACGGTGATTGTCCTCTTCGGCCATTTCAATAATTTTTTGCCAAAATTCCAGGCGAATAGGTAAATTTAAAGGGGTTTAACCGGCTTGTTATTTGAACTTTGTTCGGAACAGCTTTAAGTCATCATGAATTATCCGTTGTAATGACCGTCTGCTAAGTCCAAGTTGCGCCGATAAGTTGCGAGTCGAAACTCTTGGATTTGCCTGAATTGACGATGCAACATCCGCGATTGTTTCTTGAACACGAACATACGGATCTCAATGGTACGGTCTTCTTGCGATACTTTCAGATTCGGCAAGCATGTTTACCAACCTCATAAGGATCCACCTCCTCGGCGAAGTGCCGTCAAAATGCCGTCTGAATTCCCTTTTTACGGAAAGGACGGACTGCAAAGCATGGTACCGCTGCACTATCGAAACCCTCTTTTCAGTATCCCAAGCATTCATGTTTAAAAAACATAAATAAAAACCTGCCAAATAAAAAAAAGTTGGTCAATTACTCACACAGCAAAAAAGTTATTACGGTTTGTTTTTGTAGCACGATTCGTGAGCCACCCTGTATATATTCCTTATAGGCTCTCCCACGTTTCTTTCTGTGTGTTACAAACTTCGTGGCACTTAATTGAACCTGTTCAGGGTATAATTAACTAATTACTGGTAGTTCTCATAGTTCAGCTGAGAACAGTTGACGCACGAAAAGTGTAGTTTCTTTTAGGCGCAACAGTAAAACTGAACGAATATTACTTCCCAAACTTCAGCTGAATGAGCACAGGGTGACGCAAGTTTGCCTAAAATATTTCCTCTGTGCTTTGTTAGCATATTAATGAATAATGAAATCACATAAGGAGAGTATAAATACGGACCGAACCATATACAACAATTGGTTATTTCATTTTAATGTAATGTGGACCGATAGAAATTATTACTCGTATGGCCAAGGAATCATATGCATCGAGTTTATCTTACATATTGACCAACACAAACGGAGTTACTCGGTTTTTGTGAATGAACAGATTGTTAGATAGAAGTTTGTATGGATACACATATGGATGCTTGGACAGACGAACACATGACCGAATGCACGGAACGATGATTGATGAGTAGATGGATAGACACATGTATAGAAGAACAGATATAAAGATGAACAGACGGGCGAACAAATGAATGAATAGACGAGTGGAAGGATAAACGGTGGAATCGCTAAGCGCTGGTAACATAAGACATAATACAGATGATTGGCTCAATCGAGGGATAGCTGGCGGGGACACATGTATGGCTGAACAGATGAACCAATAGGCCGATGAACAGCTTGGGCGGATAGATGAGCTAATGAAAACAGGATGGATGAAAAATGGACGAACAGACAGACAGACAGACGGGGCGGACAGATAGAAGTATGCACAGTCACAGCTATGGACGAATGGACAGATGGAAGGATGGGCGGATGTAGAGATGGACAGATAAACGGATAGAAGCATAGACATATCGGCGGATAGATGAACTGTGAATGAAGAGATGGACGAATGATCAGATGGAGAGATGCAAAGATAACCGTTCGGACTGAAGAACAGATAAACATTTCGGTAATAAAATGCTATTTGTATAAACATAATTCGAGGGTAAACGAATAGATATTTTATCAATGAGGAAACCAAAATGACCTCATAAATAAGAAATTTTAAAACTTACTTTGGCTATAAACTGACTTATCCCTTGAGTTCATTGTGGGTTTTTATATTCAGTATCAGTTAAGGCACGTCGGCATTTATTTTTTTACAATATGTTAACTCTTATTATTGAATCCAGCTTTAAATAAATGGTATTAAAAGGTAAGGCTTTCAAAAACTTTTCGACCAGCAATTGCATAATTTCCATACGCCCTAAGTATCGAATAGTAAGATAATTACCAAAATTGTTTACTTAAGGCAAAGCTTCCGTAATTAGTCAAGTTACTTCCATAATCAGGAGGTTGGCTACAAAATGAACCAGCAGTTTAATCATACAAACTCCACAAGTCCATCAAATCTCCGCAAGCATGTTCAATTAGATTTATATTAATATAAATTCTCCTAACTCGAGTGCTCTATTATTATATAACAGAGTATATTAAGTTTTTTGCAAAACCCAAAAGAAGTCGTAAACCCTATAAAGTATATACACATGTATATAAATGATCAGCATGACGAGCTGAATCGATTTAGCAACGTTTGGTTGTTTGTCTGTATATAGTCCTTCAGTTTTTCAAAAGTCGATCTGAAATTTCGCGTACGTCCTTTACTTTCCAAGCAGCCTGCATTTGTCAGAATCGATCTTCATAAAAGATCTTTTTTCCTTATTAAGTAACCTTAATTCCACTTGTAGGTTGCTTATACCAAACAATTTGGCTAGAAAGAAGTCGCAAAACGTTTTCCGTTAAATGATATAAGAAATGCGCCTGTGAAGGGTATTATAGCTTCGGTGCAGCCGCTGACGTTTTTCTTGTTATTTTTCAATTGTTTCAGGAATAAAGAAAAGAAGAAAGCGAATAGTTTCATGAGCTCTTTTTATTATTGTACATGCTTATTGCATAAAAACAGCTTTTATAAGAATCGAAGTTCCTTTATTAGTAATATTTCCACATAGCCACAAATTTTATAAAGAACATAAAGCATTAAGAACTATTATCGCTGTCTTCGAAAATATCCGTTTGTTGATAGCGTGCCTGTGTCTTCTTCCAAGTCGCGATCTTGCGTTTATCAGCATTGGTAAGTGCAACGCTAACGGAAGAAGCCGCACCGCAACCCAAACCAGTCTTGCCCTCATTCGATGCGACATTAATCTATCAAAGTGCGCATAATTAGTAAAAGTGAGTGAAGAAAAAAAGAGACAAACATGCATACCGGTTCCAAGAGCCCCGAGCCATCACTCGCTTTACCCAAAGCCTCACCCTTGTTCCAGCCGAGTTTAGAGAGCATCTTGAAGCCCTTATTGTCGGAAGATATTTCACTAGTAAATATATTTAATTAAAATTTTATTTTTTAATCTTATTAAAAATAAATTTGCACTCACGTATTAATAGATGCGGCTTGCGTTTTCTCGCCATCCGTTGAGCTGCCCACTTGTATGCGTCGGGTGGCGGCACGATCATTGTAGCTGCTGGCATTTTGCTTGCCCTCCACAAATTCTAGAAGCAGCAATAAATAAAAATAAACGTCTGCAAATATTTTTTATGTACTCTTCACGCACTCTCTTTCTCCAAGCCATACTTCTTCTGCAGTTTTTTCAACTGTTCACGATGTGTAAGCACCGTTGTATTGCCTGCCGTAGCATTGCTTTCACGCGTCGTCTCAATCAATAAGCCCGGCTCACACAGACCGCAAGTGCTGTTGCCCTCGTGCACGTGACACAACAACTTCGTTTGACCGATTTGCAAGACGCTGCCGTGCACCAAATCACACTCGGTGCTCTCTTGCTTGGAAGCAGACATGCGAGTGCCATTCAACACCGTGCCGTTACGTGAGCCCAGGTCGGTACACTTGTAAATAGCCTGCTTATGATCGTAGTGAAACTTCATGTGTAGCTGTGGAAATATTAAAGGTGTAAAATATTTTATTTTTTACTTCAGAAATGCAGCTAACTCACCTTGGACACATTCACATCCGGTATTATGACGTCGTGGTTGCCTTCGCGACCCAAACTGCCGCCCTTATATGTGATTAAACTCAGACTACCAACCTTTAGCGCCTCCAAATTGCTTTCCTGCACAATGATGCGCAGCGAAGGCGGGTATTTTTTAGCTATATCTAAAAGGTGTTGAGGTTTTTTTTATATGAAAATAATGGAAATTTACTTTATAAAAGCATCTAAGCTGGACTTAAACGCGAATTTCTTTTCATTTCTTATTTTTGCCAAAAAAAAATTAAAAATAGCCGAAAAAAAATCGAACAAACCTTGAAAGCGCCCCCCGCCTGCAAAAGTAGCAACTTCCTTGCCCTCTTTCCCCTCAGCACCCCTTTCACCATCACCACTGCTACGACTATCCTCATCGCTCTCACTTCCGCTGCTGCTGCTGGACTCGGACAACTCACCGTCCTCAACGTCACACGAACGCCTACGCGCACGCTTCTTACTTTTCCTCTTGTTTTCCTGCACATCGCTCTCGTTATCAGACGACGAAGAATCGCTCGACGCGCGCTTGTGTTTCCGTGAGCGCTTGCGCTTCTTCGATTTATGCTTTCGTTTCTTTGATTTGGCACGCTTCTCGCTCTTGGCAACCTTTGTGCTCTTCGATTTCTTCTTTTTACGCCACATGCGCTCGTCTTCTTGCTCCTGGCGTCGCTCCTCTTTGATTTTACGCAGTCGCTCTTGATCGGTTATGACGCCGCCGAACTCGTCGAACGCCACCATCTCGTCCGCATCGAAATCATCCTGCAACAGTAGAAAAGAAATCCGCGTTTTCATCGACATTTCACGCTACCAAGCTTACCTAATGCATTGCTACGCATTCGGTTAATGTTAAGTTTTGAAAAACGTTTTAAAAGTGAATTATTTACATAATTCGCTAGCACATCTTTATCACTGGCGTTGTTGCACTGCAAAAGGGAAGACATACAAAAATTATTATCGCTTAAGGAAAACATTTGTTTTTGTTTTTGTATAAATATTCATTTTCGGAAAAAGTGAACTAGTTGGAAAAAACACTAATTAACTAAAACATTCGGTCTAATTAACTAGTCGGATTAAGATCAGCTCCCTATTAGAATCACTGTATAAAAATGAACTAGTCGCGAAAAAACTAGTTTACAACTTGAAATTTCTGACAAAAAAAAACTAAATAATATTAAGTAGAAATACCAGTTAACCAGCCAAAAATACTGCCCAAAATGGGACTAGTCCGAAAGATACTAGTTCACAATAAATAATATTTTTTTCGGCTCGTAATTATGTTTGCTCTGGTATTAATGGCGAAGAAGAGGAGGAAAATATAATATATTAGGTTTATGACCGAAACCTCAGCATTAACATATTTCAGGACAAAAGCTATGTCAAGAATACCTGTTGATTGCATGAAGAAATACATTTGTTTCACTACAGGGAAGCTACAGCAATTTAGAAGGCTGCCACTTAGCATATTTGCAATTTTTGAATAAAAACACTAAAAAACGTTAGCACCGAAAATGTAATACCTTTTTCAAGATTTTATTTCTTACAGCAACATAGCAACAGAAAACGTTTCTTTAGTTTTTTCTAGCCAGATTATTTGATATAAACAATCTTCAAGTCGAATTAAGCTTACTTAATAAGGAAAAGGATTATGAAGTCCTTAATTTTGATTTTGATCTTTCAGTTTGTATAATAGGTTTATGATATTGTGGTCCGATCTGAAGAATTTCCTCGGAAATTATAGCGTAGCCTTGAACAATTATTCATGTCAAATTTCTAGATGATCTTGTCAAATAAAAATTTTCTATATAAGAACTTGATTTTGAACCTTTGTATGGCAGCTATATGCTATATAGGGTCTCCAACGTTTCCTTTTGGTTGCTATAAAGATCATGGCCAACTTAATATACCCTGTTCAGAGTATGAAAATTCCAAAATCTAGAGCCATTAACTAATACTAATTACCTGATATTTATATTAAATAATTTTGCAGACGAAATAATGTGCGCCTAAAAGTCTGCAACATATATCCAACGTATAAGCATTTTAATTACTGCAATTATATCAAAAGTTCTTTAATTATCTACCGAATTGTTAACATCACAGCCGATTAGCACAAATTTCGCACCACGAGCCTAAACAAATTCTTTGGAATTTTAGTAATCCTGACTCTATTTCATGATTCCGAAGCTAACTGCATGCAAAATAGTCCGTTTCAAGTTCAAAATATTCAATAAATGAAAGTAGCAAATAGTCAAGAGCTCACCTCTGCAGCTTTCTGAATTTGCTGAGCTTGAACTTGCGAATGAAATTCAAAAACATTTTTCTCTTGATTGTAGTTGTAATAGCAGCCGTTATTGCCATCGTAATAGAGACCATATTCCTAGTAGAAAAATATAAAAAAATATATTTATGAAATATATAATTGAAAATTTATATATATATATATATCATAAATAAAAAGTATTATTTATTAAACTTACCGCATTATAATAGTAGCCGGTCTTCTGATCATAGTATAGACCAGATGTGGGCTCGTAGACGAAGCCATTCAAATTTTGCGCCTGTTCGGCGGCACGACGAATATCATCCACAAAATTGTCCACAGTAGCAGAGGCGTCATCTAATGGAAAAGTAAATACAGAAATTGCATTCAAAGGAAAATATTAAAACTGTAAATTATTAAAAAAAAAAAAAAAAAAAAATAGAATTTGCCATGTCAAGAGTAAAGTCAAAAGCAACGCATGCAACTCCTCATATCTACACCTTGCGCTATCTTTATTGGCACCAATGTAAACTAGATATTTATAAAATTACATATAAATGCCCAAAGCGTGTCGTCAATGTATACAAAATATAAAAAAAATGATGCGAAGACACTTGACTCGTCTTAGTTACATGCAGCCTATAATATCTTGGGGATGAAATTTTAGTTCTACTGGTTTGCCACTGCATTTTATTATTTGCAAACAAATGAAAAAAAACAATACCGGAGATTACTGCGACATGTGAGGTATTTGCTTTGGCGTTCCTTATCACTTTTTTAGCTTAATAGTTTCTAGTTTTTGTGGAAACTAAATTCTTCGTTGTTTTATTTGCAATGTAGGATGCTTTCTAATATTAATATTTGTAATTTTTCTAATCAAATTTGCAGATAATTAATTATATAGTGTGAGAGGGCAAGTACATACACACATACATACCTAAGCATGTTCGCATGTGCATAAATTACGTAAGGGTGTGTGTGTGCATGTAATTTTACACCAAAACTAAACATTTCTAATGCAGCGAGAAATTGCGCGCACAATTATTTACTTGTAGAAATTTAATATGAGATTGTACAATGGGTGATTTGTGCTCGAAAAGTGCTGGAACGAGGTTTTTGAAAACTAATTAACTGATATAGTTGGAAATACTAGCTGGAAGGAAATTTCTTGAACTCTAATTAACTCAAATTGTTATAATTACTAACTTAACGGTAATTAGTACCAAGAATAAATTGGAACTGTCAGTTGAAATTGTTTAGGAAGTATTTGAAAAATATACGCAAATTTTAGGCACAGAATAAAAAACAGTGAAAATTTGCACACATCCTGTTTTCTCCAAAAAGCTGCTTATTTGTCGGAGCCGCCGATATAGGACGACTACAGCATTTAGCTGCCAAACAAACTGAACAATCAAAATAAGGTTCTGTATGGATAAACTATTTATTTGAGGAGATATTTTCATAAAATTTGGCATGGTTTATTGTCCAAGGCAACGCTTCAATATTCGAATAAATTTTTCAGACAGGACCATTATATCATAAAACTATCATACAAACTGAACGGTCAAAATCTTCTTGTATGGAAACTTCAATTATTTTGAAGGCTATTCTATGTTAGGTGCAATGGAGTTAACAATTTTTCTTGTTTTTTGTATCCTTTTAACGCTTTTAAGCCTTTTCTGAATTAAAAAATATTTACCCTTTAAAATCCAAAAATAAATTAATTGTTATGGGCTTCTTGACCACTGTGCGTTAGAAAACAGATTTTCGAATACTTGCATGTAATAAAAGTTGATTTCTTATCAAGTAGATTTGTGTAAAGTCTTAAAACAGTACTTTTTGTGCAAAAACTAACTATATACATACATACATATGCATTTAGTAGGCATATGCAAGCAGTTTGAGGCTTTTGAGCAAACATTCATAATATTTGCGACCGCCTACCTTGCAAGTTGGCTCAAACGCGCGCTCTTAAAGTACAAAATAAACGCTGCAAGAAAACTAAAATCAAAAACCAAGAACGAGAATGCAGGATCAACGCTTAAAGGATTTTCTCAAAGAGTTCATCATCAGTGACTCACAGCTACAAGAATTGTATAAGCGTTTTACCAGTGAAATACAGAAGGGGCTAACGCTGGCCACACACCAGCAAGCGGACACAAAGTGTTATATGACATATGTGCAAGATTTGCCAACTGGTGATGAGAAAGGCAATTATTTAGCGCTCGATTTAGGTGGCACCAACTTCCGCGTTTTGCGCGTCTCACTGCAGGGGCATCATGAGGCGCAAATTGATTCAAAAGTGTATGTAGTCGACAAGGAGCTGATGACTGGTCACGGCACAAAGCTTTTCGATCACATTGCTAACTGTTTGGCTGAGTTCGTGAATGAGCACGCATTGAATGATCAGCATTTGCCGCTGGGTTTTACATTCTCATTTCCATGCATACAATTGGGTTTGACCAAGGCGCTGTTAACGCGTTGGACAAAAGGTTTTCGGTGTGCTGGTGTGGAGCAAGAGGATGTGGGGCGTTTGTTAAAGGAAGCCATTGCACGACGCGGTGACTTGGAGATCGATGTTATGGCTCTACTAAACGATACCACTGGCACACTAATGTCCTGCGCGCATCGCAATCCGGAATGTCGCATTGGCGTTATTATCGGTACGGGTTGTAATGCCTGCTATGTGGAACGTGTGGAAAATGCCGATTTATTGGAACCTGAATATAAAGTTGATAAGCCGAATATATTGGTGAATACGGAATGGGGTGCTTTTGGCGAAAGCGGAAAACTAGAATTTGTGCGCACAGATTACGATCGTAAAATTGATAAGGCGTCTCTAAACGCAGGCAGTCAGCTGTTTGAAAAAATGATATCAGGTGAATGTGTGTGCCAACTAATTATGTGCTGAATATTATAGCAATATATAATAATTTAATATTACAGCACTCGTGCATATTTTTAATGCAGCTGAACGGATTTTTTTTAGTTATCAAACTAGTTTTAATTATTTTCAACATTTTCAGGCATGTATTTGGGCGAGTTAGTGCGTCTAGTGCTAGCCGATGCAATAACTCAGAATTTGATATTTGTGCGCAGTAGTGAAAAACAACGTTTGACAAATATTCTCAAAGACAACGCTGGCTGTGTGGAAACACGCTTTATTTCGCAAATTGAAAGCGACACTTTTCCGGCTTTCCAACAAACCCGCAATATACTCAAAGAGTTGTTTGGCTTGGAAAATGCCTCAGTAGAAGATTGTCAGAAGATAAGGTATACTTGTGAATGCATTTCGAAGCGTGCAGCCAATTTGGTGGCAGTGGGTATAAGTGGTTTAATAAATAAAATAGGTGAGCAACATGTCGTGGTAGGTGTAGATGGTTCCGTTTACCGACTTCATCCTCATTTCGACACTTATCTGCGAGAAGCAATACATAAATTGGTTAGTCCAAAAATAAAATTTGAACTTATGCTCTCGGAAGATGGTTCCGGACGTGGTGCAGCACTGGTGGCAGCAGTGGCCAGTAAAAATTAATCCACAATTTCAACGACAGAATGTTTGTCAAACTTTTTGATAATAAAAAAAAAATTATAATATTTTAAAGCGCTTACCATCAGCTGGCTTTTCATCTACGGGGGCGGGGGAATTAGACTCAATATTTGAGGATTTATCGGAGTTGTTATTTTCTTTTTCGTGTTTTAATTGCCTCAGCTGTCAAATAAATAAAATTGATCAACTTAAAATATTTGTTTACAATAAATACTTACGATTTCTTTATATTTGTCTTTGTATTTTTTTATTTTATTGTCTTTTTTTATGAGCAGTTCATGTAGCTCCGATATGTAGGCGCATAATTCATCGGACTCTAGCTTTTCTATTTCGCCCAACTTTTTAAGTTTAAATTTTGCACCACTGCATTTTGCTTGTTTTGTATTGCTGTCCGACTCACTATCACTCATTTTCCACTTATTTCTTGATTAATTTGATTAAAAAATTGTTAAAAAAAAGTTTCACAGACTGACGTTTGACTAATGAGCCATAAACGAGCAAATAGGAATGCAAAGAATGCTGCCATACTGCTTCAATATACAACTATCAAAAATTTATCGTACAACAGCTGATCTATATACACTCAAAAAAATGTTAAATGTTGTTGCCAATTATTAAGGATCTGTATATGTGTGATGCAAATTCAACTTTTTATCTTCACTCACTTCTAGTTTAATTGCTTGTAAATTTTGATTTCCAATATTGAGTGATGTCATAATTTTTATTAACACGGTATCTCGCAAGTTCTTATCGTAAGTTCGTAAGTAAGTCTATAGTACTTCATATTATTTTTACGAGAGCGCATGGTTCTGTTTTTATATCAGACAGCTCAAAATTGATAGTAGATTTTCATAATATCTACCGCAGTCTCTTAGGTTTTTGAAAATGGTGAATGTGAATAATGTTTTGACTTGACCGTGTACACAAACATATCACAAAAAAAAAATATATATATATATATGCATATTCCAAATATTTAATTATTACTTAATAATTAATATATTTTATGAGTTGTATCAAAGTATGAACAAATCGCGTATGAAAAACTAATGGATGTTTTTACCTCGTATACAATTTCTCTATATATTGTAAGCGCAGAGTAATATCTGTAAAGTAAGAAATCGGTGCAAACTTTTTCAAAATTCCTATTGGGTCTTTAACTTTTTGCAACACTGTGCCGGTTTATGTTCATTAAATTTGAGAGAAGAATTCTGCAGAGAACTTATACAGTATTTCCTGCAAAATACCGCGCGGTTTTATAAACAACACAATTATTTACATTAATTAATAATAGTTTAAAAAGCGTATCCAAATATTTCTACAAAAAGTTCAAAGTTTCTTTTACCAAATTGTGCTCAAATGGCGTGTAAAGTCTTTTGGGTACTGTTTGCCATTGTGGCTCTAAGCAGCGCGGTAGCATCAACAAAGTTGAACTATCCTCGCGTGCTACTTCCGATATTTAACCAAATATCAGTAAATTTTACATTGGAAGTGATTGAAAAAGGATGTTTTAAATGGTAAATTACATTAAAACCTTTTATTTAGTTGGCGCCAGATATGCGCCAAATCTAACCTCAACTGGCAATATTTCGCGCACAGCTGCTCCACGCCGATTTGTTACATTAATAACATACATACCTTTTTAGGACGTCATCACGGCAAGATTTAATACTTATTACCCCACTTTATGAAGATGTAGAAAGTGAATGCTCATATCGTGCAACAGTGACAGTGTTAACACGCGAACGTCGCCACAATGCAGCTATTGTCTTGGCAGAGGACCTTACCACTGGCGAATCGCTGCGTTGTGATGTCATACTTGATGTTATCGACAAATTGGGAGTGCGCACAACCACCCGACAACTGTTTCTTGAAGAAGCGCCGGAAACCTTCGAATTGCGTGCTGAAGACTCACAAGGCAATGAGTTTACCACTTTGGAAGGAATTGAATTTAGCTGGGTAATCTCTTCTTTGGGCGGACGTAGTGGAATTAAAAATTTTGCATCAGCCTTAAGGTTTCTAACATTTGGCGAAAGCCCTTACCATGCGGTGCCGCCGGCATTAGAAAAATTCGAGGCACAGCGTATGAAAGGTTACATGGTGTTGCTGGAGGGCATCAACACTGGCACTGCTAAGGTATGTTGCGCAAATATATGTAATTCATTTCTTTGGCACAATTATTACCAATTCTAGGTTACCATAAGCATACCACACCCTGAGTATAGTCACGTGCCAAAAATGGAAGTTTATATTAATGTGCTTGCTAATATCATACTCGAGCCATCGGATGTACATCTGCTCTCTGGTGACAAAATTAATTTCCGCATACTACAATTGAAAAAGGGCAAACTTCAGGAAATTTCTTTAAATGATCAATATTTCCTTGAAATTGAAAACACTAATGTGGCTACAATAAAAGGCACCAGTATAACCGCTTTAAAGCTTGGCACAACAACAGTGGTTCTGCGTGATCGCAATGCGCCTATCGACGAGGAAAACAGTAATTTAGATAGCGCGATCGTAAAAGCTTCAACACCTAGTGCACGTGTCACGGTCGCTGAGCCTGTACGTTTGGGTCTAAGCCTCTTGCCGCACAACAACTGGATCACAGTAGAGGGGGAGAAGCATGAAATAGCTCTGGACTTATACACACGGTATTTTATTTGATTTTTAATATATAGTTGTGATTATTATACCATATACTGGGTATATAACGTTTGCCACGAAATTTGTAACACCTAGAAGGAAACGTCGGAGAACCTGTATATATAAATGCTCAGGATGACGAGTAGCCGCTTTAACCATTTCCGTCCGTCTGTCTATATATAGGTGAAATTTTTGGATTGAGATATCGATTTGAAATTTTGCACACGTCCTTTCCTCCCCAAGAAGTTGTTCATTTGTCGAAACCGCCGATATCGGATCACTATAGAATATAGCTGCCATACAAACTGAATGATCAAATACATGTCCTTGTATGGAAAACTTTTTTATTACAAAATATCTTCACAAAATTTGGAACGGATTATTAAGGCAACGATTATTACCTCCGAAGAAATTGTGCAGATCGCACTGCTATAGCATTTAGCCATACAAACTGAGCGATCAAAGTCAAGATAAAGATCTTTTTCTACCATTTTGTGCTAGAAGAAATGCAACTGTGGAGGTTTTTTTTTTTAATTTTTTGTGTTATATGTTTATTTTAGCGACGACAAAAAGATTACATTGGGCTCTCAATTCGCTATGCAATCGGAATTTGATGAAGTGCTCTTCTATATAATACAGAAAAATAAAAATGGTAGTCGTATATATGGTGAAGCTATACGTCAGGGCATTTCGCCAGTCTACGGTTCCTTTAAAGAGGTATGCGCTTTAAGTTGCTTGTTTTAACTTATTTGTAACAACTGTTTATTTTTTTAGTTGACTGCCCAAGCAGAGTTACAAATACATAGTGAACTTCTGCTTTCACCGAGTAAAGTCGTGTTACCCTTCGATCCAAATGTTTCCAAAGTGCAAAAAATACAATTTCACGCACGTGGTGGCGATGGAATATACACATGGCATTCGCAAAACCAACGCACTCTACATATCTCACAAACGGGTCTTGCCACTACGGTTATACGTCACACAGACGGTAAACGCCCGCCAGCGGATACGCTGGACGAAATCTCTTCACTAGCCACACATGCCAGCATTAGGGTGGCGTTATCGAAAAATCTTAAAATAACACGTCAAGCGGATGTGTATTTTGTGCCTCCCTTTAAATTGGAAATCATCAAATATAACTTTGAAACTGCGCTAAAAGATTATGTGCGTCTGCATGTAGCCGTGTACGCTAAAGTAAATCAAACGCTTGTGGCCTACACACGTTGCGAAAATCTAGAATTCGATTTTGAATTTTCCAACAAGATCTTCCAAGTGGATACCAATGAGCAGACTACGCAAATGTTCAATGACGCCTGTCAAGTTGTGCATCTACGCAGTACTGCTGTTGGCTTAACTAATTTGCGCGTGTCTTATAAATTCCAAGATCGTGAGCTCAAAGATGAGGTGACATTAAGTGTGTTTGAACCACTTTCAGTGCTAAATCCAAGTGCTAATGAAGTCATATTGCCAATCGGTGCGTCGCGTAACGTTATCTATGAGAATGGCCCACAAAAAATGTTTACTTTGGAAAGTGACCTAACCAAATCGCTTGAATACGATAGTGTTGTTGCTCAGGTTAGCGAAATGAAATTCGACACACAAGAGCCGCTGCATGTCTTCAATGTGATGTGCCTCAAAATTGGCAAAACCACATTAAGCTTCAATATACATAACGTTTTGAGCGACTCAAATTTCCAACCGTATATTTCGAACTTTGCCACCACTGTATACTGTGTGAAGCCACGTTTCCTCAATCTCTATGCTACCGAGCAGTTGCGTACCTCATGTCCAATGGAGGTGAAAAATTCATTGTTGCACATAAAAGAACGCGATGACAAGTTCGAAATCGAAATTGAGGTGCAAGATTCGAAAAATCGCAAATTGATGAACATCACTTCATTGTTTATTGACTGGGAATTCAACGCCGGCGACGAACGCTATCAAAAGGATGCGATAATGCATTACCGTCGTACAGAGGAAGAGCTGTACGAGGGTGTGCGTTTGCCTGCACGTGATGTGCTCATTACCACGATAGCGAATGTGGCACAAAATTTCCGTATCAAAGGCATAGTTACGCGTTATGATGCAACGGTCCTGAAAAAACATAACATTTATCCAGATGAACCAAATTTCGCTGTGAAGAATGTAAGTTCTAATATTTTTGTTGCACCGTTCTTTTTCTGTTGCTAATTAAAAACTTTATTTTTTAGGCCAAGACAGGTGAGATGTATACACCAGTTATAGAGAATGAAATACGCTTTATGGCTGTAAACAGCACACTTTTCCCCAGCGATCATATTAGCATTTTTATGGCCAAGAATCGACGTGAACGCATACCAATTACTCAGGGTAGTGGATTCTATGAATTCGAGTTATATGACCAAAATGTTGTTAGCGTGGAATATGACGCGAAGGAGAAGGAGCTTGTAGTTACACCGTTGCGTGTGGGACATGTGAGTAAATTTTGCGCATTGTTTATTACCCTGAGCTGGGTATATTAAGTTTGCCATGAATTTTGTAACACCCATAAGGAAACGTCGACCGTATAAAAAATATATATAAATGATCAGCATGACTAGCTGAGTTTGTTTAGCCATTACTCTCTGTCAGCCTGCCTGTATATACGCGAACCTAGTCCCTCAGTTATTGAGATAATCGCCGATATTGGACCACTATAGTATATAGCTGCCATACGAAGTGACCGACCAAAATCAAGCACTTGTGTGGAAAACTTTTTTATTTTATAAGATATTTTCAAGAAATTTTTCTGAATGGAATGCTGCAAACTCCGTACAAAATTTTCATTTTTGACAACTACATACATATACATCGTTGCCATACAAACTGACCGATCAAAATCAAGTCCTTGTATGGGAAACTTTTTTATTTGACGAGATATCTTTACGAAATTTGGGACAGAACATTCTCCAAAGCAGCGCTGCAATCTCCGAACAAATTGTTCATATATATCACCACTATAGCATATAGCCACAGAAACTGATCAAAAAAAGTTTTTATATGTAAACCTTTTTATTTAGATATCCTAGCTTTGGTGCAACCGAAGTTAACGTATTATTATTGTTTTTGAATTAACAATTGTACTTATAATTTTTACAATTAATATTAATATCAATATAATTTAATAAAATTTACCTTTTTTGCTTTCTGTATGTTTCCTGATTTTTGGTTTTTGGAAATTTATACTTTTTTTTTTTGATAATTTATCATTCTTATTTTTTAATTTAAAAATTAATTCAACATTTATTAAAACTGAACTGAAAACTGTTGTTGTTTTTTACAGGCTCGTCTCGAGGTTATCGACCGTTGTCTAATGACTGAACCAGCACATCTTTCAATATCGGTTGTTACGATCGGCTCTATTCGCGTTGACGCACCCGATCGTGTTGAGCGCACAAAATCCATCGAGGCCATCGTCAAGCTTTACGACTCCAATGACAATTTGTTGCAAATCGATCCGTTCAACTTGCATATGTACGAATTGTCCGAGGAGATATTTAACGCGGATATACTCAGTGTAAGCTTGGGCGAGCAATACGATCTGCAGATAGGCGAAGTGAAGTAAATCTGTGCAAATAATAAATAAAAAGCATGCACTTTAAGCAAATTTATTATCAAACACTTCTAGATACATTATAACGGGCAATAACCTTGGTGAGACGAAAATCGTTTTTACTGCCGGAAGCGAAGATTTGAAGGTTGGCAGTGAACCAGTCAATGTGCAGGTATATACGCAGACATTTTCACTTTACATTGTTGTTTTCCTGCTATTTTCATCTATATCATATACAGGTATTCCCACCACTTCGGCTTTACCCACGCAATTCCACACTGGTGGTGGGTTCTAGTCTACAAATTTACTACCACGGTGGACCACAACCGGATGTTAACATTGTCTATTATGTGCATGACAGAAAAGTTATTTGTAAGTTTGTGCACCCCTGTCCGTACTTGACTTTTATGCATGCATTTGTTACATTCCATAATCTATGACCTTATCATTTAACAATTGCAGCAATGGAGTCGGCTATTGTTACGGCGCATAAGCTGGGCACAACCAAAATCACCGGTAAATGTATTATGACAAATCCCGGAAATGGCAAAGAAGTGGTCATATCCGCTGACATAGTGGAAGTGCATGTCGTACCGTTTGTGAATATACAAGTTAAGACACCGTTAGTGCGCATACGTAGCGGTGCAGTGATGCCGGCCGCTGTGTGGGGTTAGTAGCCTTACAAATACACACTTTTGTATATATATATTAGCTATGTTATATGTATATATGCATATATATATTCCCATTGTGCATTGTCTGTTTGGTAGATAAGCGTCGCTCATGTATGTGTGCATATATGTAAATGCAAATGTAAATAATTGCAGGTGTGCCTGATCTCTCGCCCATGGTGTTGGGCACTTTGGAGAATATGCGTGTGACCTGGGCAACAAATCAACCGGATGTAGTGGACATTTACAATGTATTTGCGGATTCAGGTATGTTAATGGGCGTAAAGTACATATAATTGTATAGGTATGTGTACATATGTATATGGTATATGTGTGCATAAAGTATTTTAGCATGCAATTGAGGTTCAAGGTGTTTAGTAACATCCTTTGCAGTTGCAAGTACATTGTTGCGAATATTTCGATACGACATCCTTTTGGAGTTCTATAAATTATGTTCACAAAATATTCGCAGAAAATCATTGATGTTTTCTGATGAGCCTGAATGATAGAACTTGCGTTCAGGCACAGATACGAAACTGACAAATTTATAAAATAAATAAATTTCCTAGCGCTTAGAAGTCGTATTTACAAGTTATTATTAAACATGATTTTTCCTCCCTCGCAATTTAGGCGTTGAATACGATACCACGGATCTGATATCAGTGCGCGTCAAAGCTTTAAATCCCGGAAAGGTTAAAATTCAGGCTACAGTCGAGTTATCCACCGGTCAGAAAATAACAAACTCGGTGGAAGTTGTCGGTAAGTGAATCATGCTTGCACATTGCATAATTCTCGATTTTTTTGATATATTGTATTAAAATAAAAAATAAAAAATTTTATTTAGAAATAAGTGTTTTTTTTTGCTTAATTGATGTTTAATTAAAAAAAAAATTTTTTTTTTGTTAATTTTTGTTAATTTATTTAAATTTTTTATATATTAAATTTTTTTATTTATTTGAAATTTTTTATTTATTTATAATAATTTATTTAAAAAATGTTTGTTTTAAATTTTATTAATAAATTTTTGTTTTTTGTTTTTAGTTTTCAAGATATTGGAACTTGAGTCGCCCAAACACATAACAATGGACTGGATTTTAGTAGCGCCGCGCAGCACGCTACAATTAAAAGCCAATTTAGATGACGTCATCTACAAACTAGACAGCGATAGCACTGGCATCGTTAAGGTGTCTACAGATGGCGTTATACGCACGCAGGATACGCTAGGACGCGATTTGATTATTGTAAGCTGTTTGAGTCCGCCTTTTCATATGCATTCTTATGGACTTACTAACTTCAATTCCCTCCACTGCAGGCCAAAACCTTCGAACAAACCCTACCAATTGGCGTTGAAGTGAAGAATATACAATACATTTTGGCTTCCCTGGCCTATCCCACATCGCGCTTGAAGCAAAGCGAAGCAAAAATTCCACGTGGCATGCATTTCGTATTGAAAATTTCGCTACACGACAATTTGGGCAATGAATTCTCGCACAATATTGAGGATGTTAATGGCTTGAAGTATGACTTGTCGCGCAAGGATATTGTGGACGTACAAATCGGCAGTAATCTCACAATTGCGGTAAGTTGAATTGCTGAATAGTCACTCTATTATCTTGCATGAGCTTTAATAACAACTAAAGCAGTTTTTATTTACTTATATAATAAGAGTATTGCAGCATTTACTGGCACTTTTTCACACACTTTGGCATGACTTCAAAATGGCTTTTCTTTATATGCCACACAATATGGTGTATAAAGTAAGTCGCTTCCTGGTTTTCAGGCAAATGTTGCATGACAACCCATATTCTTTTATTTATTTATTTTTTTCGCCACGCTACTTTCTACTGGTCGCAGTGATGGACGTTTCGGTGACGCCACTGCTAAGAGCGTACAACTAAATTGCCATAAGCTCCAAACCTCCCACTGCATATTCGATTTGATGCGCTCGTAAATGACGTAGATAGACTTTCAAGGCGTTGCTTGTATACCTATTTAAATTTAAATCGCAAATTTTGCAAGTGTGCAACGTCAAATCCCAGCTTTGAAGTTTGCAGAGTTCACTTTTAGCTATTATATGTACAGTTATTTGTATGTGTGCATACATTTTTATGTATATTATACTTGTCCTCATAGTAGTGTGCGTTTAAATGTTTTTAAACCCTACTGGAATCTCTATACTTAAACCCTGTAAGAAATGGTAAGCAGTGTATTTAAATAAATTTCACAAAAAATTAAAATTTTCTGCAACCGAAATTTTCTTACTGGGTATACGTATAGCTTTTTCATCATCAGTTATACAGAAAAATAATTAATCAATAATTTTTCCTTACATTTCGTGAAATAAAGTTTTTTGCAACTAAAATGCAAAAAATTGCCCTACTGGATATATCTATGAATAATTTTTTGAATAGTTCACCCTCAGTTATGTAGAAACATAATCAAGCCTTTCTTTTCATAATTTATTACATTATATTTTTATGCAACTTATTTTTTCTTACAGGGTATATTTAAAACTTTTTAAATCGTTTAAGCTGAGTTGTACAGAAAATTAATGAACCTTTCATTTCAATAAGTTTCATAAAATAAAAATCTTACAACTAAAATTTTCCTACTAGGTACATGTATATTTAGTTAAAGCTCGCACTGAATTATACAGAAAAATAATTCTTCAGTTTCTTCAAAAAAAACGTTTATATAACTAATATTTTCATACTTGGTACATGAACTTTTTTAAAATAGTTCACGCTCAGTTATGTAGAGAAATAATAATTTTAACTTTCCATAAATTACTGTATAATTAAATAACATTTTTATGCAACCGATTTTTCCTACAGGGTATAAATATATATCGTAATTTAAAATATACCATAAGTTATACAATAAAACAATTAATCGTCCATTTCCATAAGATTCATGAAATAACATTTTTCTGCAACTAAAATTTCCTATTGGGTGCATGGTTAGCTTTTTAAATAGCTGATCCTCAGTTATCTAGAAAAATAATTAAACCTCTGTTTCCTTAAATTTCGTGCAATAAAATTTTTCTACAACTAAAATTTTCCTACAGGGTATATGCATGTTTTTTTTTTTAAATCGCTCACGCTCAGTTTACGAAAAAATAATGAATCTTCAATTTTCATAAATTACATTAAATAAACATTTTTTGCAACTAAAATTTTCCTACAGGGTATGTTTATACCTTTTTAAATAGTTCAATCTCAGTTATACAGAAAATAATCAGTTATAGAGAAAAATATAAAGTTATTTCCACAAACTGAGCAACGTGAAATAAAATTTCTCTAAAACTAAAATTTTCCCATAGGGTATACATATGTATAGCTTTTTAAAAAGTTCTTCCTCAGTTATACAGGAACGTAATACATATTCCATTTGCATAAATTTCATGAATTAAATATTTTCTGCAACTATAACTTTCCTAGTGGGCATATGTATGTATAGCCAAGAGGATATTTGTTCTATATGACAACGGCATCAAGTTAAACTGTAAATAAAAATGCACAACGTTTTGTCCTCTTGCGGAAATATTTGCAAAGTTTGAAGCCGTATAAGCAAAGCGTGGAATGCTTCAGCATTTTCTATCCATACATATATATTTATATAATATATAAGCCGCTATTGGTGATGATACATGAGTGTGACCGGGCTTGTTCTCATTTGCTGTGCAGTGCCCCAACATAGTTCGCAGACTGCATTTCTATAGCTTTATCGTTGTTTGTTTTCCGCTCATTTCGTTCTTTTTTTGCAGTTTCCTTTTTTATTTTTAAGCTTCCTCAGTCAGCCATGCAGCCACATGAGCGTGCTGAGAGCGTGTGCATGGCAGCATAGCCAAGTATTTACATACATTTTCTCAATTTTATTTTGCTCATATTTATTTTTTACTTAAACTTTCGAATGCATTTCCTATATTTTTATGCACAATTTTTATTTTTTAGTTTTTGGTTTAAACTTTATGCACTTTTCGTATGACTTCCATGCACACATACATATATACACACACACCCATATATATATATATATATATATATATGCATGTTTGTATATGATATTTGTTACATAATTTTATTTTTTATTCTATTTGTTATTTATGTTGCTCTTTCTGCTTACATAGATAAATCTGCCGCGTGAAACAAACAACATGATTGCCATCAGCTTAAGGGATACGACTGGAGTTAAACATGCTGAGGATTACATCAAGCTGTCAGTGGCAGAATCGAAGAACACGTTTCCAACTAAGGTGAGTACTGTTGCCCTAAGAGTTTTGTGTTTATTTTTTTTTTAACACGCTTTTAGTGCAAAGTTTGAGTTTGAGTATATGTTAGGGCAATGCTGTAGCTGTGTACTTCTCTTAACAGTAAAATTTTTAGATTTAAAAGAATGTAGTATTCAGTGATACCAAGTGGAATGATTTGGAGTTCATCTTGTGTAGAATTAACCAAATTTTAAGTCTTGACAGAGGTAGTTCCCTCTGTTGCTGTCGTTGTAGAGACAGAAGAAGAGAGACAGAAAACCAAGTTGACAGTGCTTGGTCGGATCTGGAACCATGTTCGTTCCGGTTACGTAGAGGTTAGGACTCTCTTCCTTGCTTACGGCCATCGTGAGTAGAGGAGCTGTTCATGACAGTCGGAACGAAGTCTGATTCATATCTGACCGAAGAGCTCCCATTACCAAATGCATCGCAGACTTTTTTACTGACATGATAAAAAAGACTTGGTTTGATTAGCACCATTAACGCAATGATTCTAGCTTGGTTTTCGGAAAATAAGCCTAGTAGCCTGCTTTACAATACTAGCCGGGGCGATTTTTTCATAAAAAGTCACCCTTGTAGACATTTGAACAACAATTCCTAAACATGCAACAAAACATTGTGCTCAAAAACTCATATACCCACATTGGATATGCCTCATAATCAGTCAAAGGCCAAATCAATAACTTTTTTTTTCATATAAAATTGTCCCTTGTAGACATTTGAACAAGAAAAGTGTTTCCAAACATGCAACAAAACCTCGGACTCAAAAGATCATATATCCTTCTTGGATATGCCTCATAAGAAGTCAAGGGCCAAATGAGTATCTATGGTATATTAGACGCCGAACTCAAGTTGTCTGGTGAAAGCCGAGGTAAAATATCATATCTTCGTACTCTGGTATTATAAAAGTTTAAATGGGATGGATCCCGGTATAACTGGAATACATACGGCCGATATTTAAAGGTTCTTTAACAAATCATTAATCTGCATGCCTCCAGGAACCTACACTCTATTGTGGGGTCTATTCTGGATGAGTTAGAGTTTAACTTGCTACAGTATCCAGAACGTTGTTGCGCTAGGAACACTCTAGTTTCACCCGGCAACTCGAGTTCACGTCTGCGATGGGTGGTGTTTCGACTCCCAGACCGCCATCCACTTGGAGGGATTTGTTGTTGTAGCGACAGAATTCTGCCGAGTTGACAGTCCTTGGCCGCATAAAAATCCCGGTCCGTTCCGGTTACTTAGACCCGACTGTGTTGATGGCTCCGCTGTGAATGGTGTTTAGTACATGCTTGAAGTTAGTCCCGTTCGCAATCGCTTGGGTATACTGTTGAGGTTCGTCGATGTATTGTAGGAACGTTCTTTTAATTCTGCGAAAAACATCCCAGCAGAAACTGCTTGGAGAGGAGTGCATTATGTTCCTCAACCGGAAGCATACGGACCTCACTGTGGAGCTGTTCTGACTAGCCTGTATCTTTTCCAGCTCTCGATTACCTTGAAAGTGGCCAACAACGTTTCTTTGTCCTTAACCCAGGTGCTCCTGGCTGGCCACTTGAGGAACTTGTTACGGCTCTGTACTGTAGTAATCGCGGTCTTGTGCTAAGTGCTCTTTCACAGACTATCAAACATAACTCCTAAAATTTTTAGGTTGTTCGCTGTAGGGATTTAAACATTATCGATTGAAATGTTGACGTGTAATCTGTATTCCTTCGTCCAGTTGGTGAAAAAGCTTGTGAATTTAGCAGGGGAATGTTTTGGGTTCTTGCAGTGAAAAAGCGAGAAACGTCCAGGATATAGGCGTTCACTTTCGAACGTATGTCATCGATTCCAGTGCCTGAAGTCAATATATTGCAACTATCAGCGTACGAGATAGTGGAAATTTCCTCTGGTTGAGGTGGGTGCTTCGAGATGTAGAAGTTAAACGTAGTTGGCAGAGGATACCACCCTTTAATTCTTGTCAGCTTAGATCTGAATGACCTGAAAGTAGCAACGGCCACATGTATCTTCACTATTATAAAGAGATATCGGGCGATGAGACTTACCATGGTTGGCGAGTTTCGCAGATTTTAGTAGCGCGACCAATCTTTCGATTTTCGACATCTCGGGTATGCGAAGAGTGGTTAGCAACAGGTTGATGACCTTGATGAGGATCGACCTGTAATTGACATTGTTGCCAATTCACTTCTAAGTAGGGTTAAAATTATCCTTACTATAACAACATAAACTCACTGTTGCACTTAACTAGCATGGTGCCGGATTAGCTTAAGAGCTGATTATTATAGCCACATAAAACTTATGCATTACTCTCGCTACACAAATAATTGTCTCCGGCTTTTTTTTGCCAGAAAAAATACATAAATGATCAGCGTGAAAATACAAGTCGATTTAGCCGTGTCTGTTTCTCTGCCAGTCTGTCTGTATATACGCGAACTAGTTCCACAGTTTTTGAGATATCGATCTGAAATTTTACATACGTAATTTTCTCCCCAAGAAGTTGCTCATTTCTCACATCTGCCGATGTCGGAATGCTATAGCATATAGCTGCCATACGAACTGTTATACCTATATATTACTTATTATACTAGGTTTATATGAATTTAAAAGACATTGTCAAAATAATCGCAAGTTTGGCTTAAAATCCTTCCTAACCGCTTGCACAGAATCTTTAATGATGGGTTTGGTTACGTTTCGCAATTTATTTTTTACAGCTTGTTGGGCCTGTATAAGTTTGGCTTTAATAATGTCTTAGGAAGTCTCAATTTTTTGCAATTCGTAGGGTTCGCCTTTTTAGGAACAACATCCACTCTATTGCTTTGCTACCGCTTTAAAGCCATTTTTCCGTAATTACATGTCGCGAGATCAGACCAAAAGAGTACGGGGGCCTTATGAAGCTTAATTAAAGGCCAACGACGCTAATATAAACATTCAGTAACATACATTTCTTGATTTATACTTCCATAGCCAATAAATGATTTGCACTTAAAGGACGGCTTCAAAAAAATTTTTCTTATTGTCTAAATTATTAAGTTGATACAGTAATAGTTTTGGAGTTACAGATTTAAAAAATTGGGCCTCGAGGTCAGCTGTAGCGTTTCTCTAGAAACTGTGTTTTCAAAGTCGGTATGAAATTTTACACAGGGCTTTGAGTAATAATTTACAAGGTCTTTCCGCGGACGATTTTTTTGTTCTATTACAACTATTTAAAATGCAAAGAAATTTCACAAAATCTTTATTAAATACGTATCTTCGGAATAATAAAAAGTTTGAATAAAATATTAGGTCAAGTAAAAAGTTCGTTCGGTTTTTTATTGATTTTTCAAAAGATGATAACTTTGTGTACATTTGGAGAGCCAATTTTCACAGGCCTCTCTTGAGGTCAACTTCTCCCCATTAAGCGCGTTCGCCATGGACAGGAAAAGATGGCAATCACTTGTTGCCAGGTCCGTACTATAAGGTGGGTGCATTAGGACCTCCATTCCAAGCTTTCGGAGCTTCTGGCGCGTCACCAAAGACGTGTGTGGCCTGGCGTTGTCCTGATGGAACACAATTTGGCCTCTGTTGATCAAAGATGGCCTCTTCTGGATGAGTGCTGCCTTCAAGCGGTCCAGTTAGTACAGGGCCGAATTGAGCGTTTGGCCATATGGGAGCAGCTCGTAGTAGATGATTCCTTGCCAATCCCACTAAATACACAGCAAAACCTTCTTGGCCGTCAATCTGGTCTTGGCCACCGTCTGGGCCACTTCCCCGAGCTTCGACCACGACCGTTTGCGCTCGATGTTGTCGTAAGTTTATATGAAAAAAAAATATTGAAATTAGAACGTTTTTTGCTCGATGAAACCCATGTACCGCCTTAAAGTCACACTGGCAAATAGCCGCCAAACAAGATATTTTTTTGGGACTTTGTCGAGCTTTTTATTATTATTTTGTATTATTTTTATTTTAATTCGAATTTTTTTTAAAGTCTTTTTTTACTCTTTAGGACTCGTCGTTCATTACAATGCAGTTCAAGTTAGGCATGAACTTATCACATAATTTTTGAGCACGTTGTTTCGCCAGAATATGTTGATTATCATTGCGAATTGGTGGGTTTGAAAGAACGTAATCCATTTTTTTGCGTACTTTCTGTACATATGAAAGTGAGATTTGTCCTTTACGCGATTTTTCGTGCAATTACTTTAATATTTAGGAATTTAGGTATTATCTACAAAAAACCATTTAATTATTATTATTATTTTTTTTTTTTAATTTATTAACATTTTTCTTTTCATTGTTTCTCTCTCGCATAAATAACTTTAAACCATGAACTGTTAACCTCAACATCTTCGTCTTCAACTTAACAATCACCTACAATCGGAATACCGTCTTAAACACCAACAACAATAATAACATCACCATTACGCACACCGTTCTGTGCGTACGTCCTTCCAATTTCTATGTGCCTCATCTGTGCGTCAATTCACGTCGCATGCAAAATGCAATTCGGTCAAATGTTACTGATGCCAATGTTGCGGTTGCTGCGGCTGCTGCTGATTGGCGTTTGCCGCTGCTAATACTGTTGTTGATGTTGCCTCCGGCCGCTTGCTTGTATTATATCATCGGCTATCTTACGGATGCGCCTTCCTTCCAACTGTTTGGCGGCGTTTGTGTGTTTGACATGTTCGCTTCGTCTCCTGTGTTACATTTCGTATTCATCGCTAACAGACGATTTTCTCTGTGGGCGACATCGTTTGCTTCGACTCACCGCTGACATTGTCATCGGTTTGGAGCAGTTCGGATGAGCAAATTATTGCAATTGACAAATTTACAGGTGAGTGAAAGTTTTTGCATAATTTCAAATTCACTCTGTATTATTTCAGGCACTTTCGGCTGGTTCAATTGTCAGCCAATCAAATAGGTAGTTTACTCTAGACTAAGAAATGTTTAAGATTTTAATGCGTTGAATTTAAAGTTGTAACGTTGACTTATATGTAATTTTTACTTTTGCTTGGGGGAAGATTAAAATAAGGAAATAGGAGCCTTTCTTGAAGTATTGTATGAAACAATTATTTTATGATCATAGTGGTATTAGGGCGGCTAAAAAGTCATTGTTGTTATACTATTATAAGTTATTAAGATCTTGGACTTACTCCGTGGTTCCAGTGTAGTTCGCGTCAAGTGAGTTTGAATAAAAAGAGAGTTAAAAGAGTCAAAAAAGTTTACATAGCCGGAAAAGTAGCTGGTAAATTTAGGACGGAATTAGGACCGGTTGTTGTGGGAATTAAATTCTGGCCTGCAAAGACTCCTCGCTTGACATTAGTCTTCTCTTTACATGTCCCCAAAGAGCCTACTCATTTAATATCTCTATCCATTTGAACCAACCTCGTCGAAACAGTTGGCCTACCGTTATGAAATGTTTTCCCTATTTATATCGAGGGTCTAATGATTTTTGACGACAAATCAAATAGTCCCTTTCAATCTTCAGGGGCGGTGATTTTTTGAAGTACCGAAGTATACTTCTAGCAATATGTCTTTTAAGGCTTTAGATTAAAATCTTAAAAATCTAGACTAAATGTATAGCTGTCTAACAGACAATTGTTTTTATTTGGTTTGTTTGGTTTAGACATATGGTTTTCAAGACGAAATTTATCTTTATTATAATAATAAAGGTTCGTCATTATGTTTGGCATGAATAAATTCCAGTCGAGACGACCATTACGACGACGACCGAATATTATATTCCAAAGCGTCAATCTTTTTAGGTTTATCTGCACAGACAAGTGACTTTATATATCCCCACAAAAAATAGTCCAGTGGTGTTAAATCGCACGATCTTGTAGGCTACACCACAGGCCCACGACGCCAGATAATGCGCTCACCAAAAGTTTCCATGTAGCGCCGTCTTGTCGTCAACATCTTCCAATTCAAGTACGAAAAAGTCATTATTATTGGCTTATAAAGTTTTCCATTGACTCTAGTATTATGACCGGTTTTATTTTCGAAAAAATATGGACCAATGATTCCCTTTGCCCATAGACCACACAGTGACGTTTAAGAATATAACGGCGTCTCCATAATGGCTTGTGTAATATCGCCTCCAAATACGCAATAGCAAAAAAAAAAAAAAATCTTGTGAAAATCGGTATCGGTGCTCATCCCCGAATATGCGACGCGCTTGATAGTCATTCGGCTTCAATTCTTGCTTGAGTTGGACTTTGACTTTGGCGGCTGAACTCATTCGGGTCTTCTTCGATATCCTGCTCCACAGCAGCTATAGCGTCTTCTGTGCGCATTATCCACTATAGTAAACGTGGTGTTAAACCGATCCACGGTTGTTCAATTTACCGACTCTGCTTGGCGATTAAGTCGACGTCTAAAAAACACTCTTTATTAGTGTTATAAAATATTTTTAGAATACTGCTGGTCGATTATTAAACAGTTACATTTATGTTTTCTACAAAAGCTTTAAATAACCTTATACAAAAATTGCTTATTCGAAATATATTTACTTTTTAATATTATTTTTCCACCAAATCCAAACACATACCATATATTTTACCCACACTAAATACCCACCTGAAAGCAACAATTAACACCTTTGTTGTTGGTTATGCTTCGCCTTTATTTAACAAATCATTAATTTAAACTTCATTCGACGAAGCGCTAATAGTTCGCATAACTGCAACGCACTTCCCTATGCATGAAAATTGTGGTGACACACCCAACCAACAACAAACACGTGGCTATAATGCACAATTAAGCATACCTAGGCCACACGGGGCAAATGGCTCGATGAAAGGTGGTTGAAGGTGGTGGCTTTGAACAATAATCGAACGGAGCTAATATTTGAACCACATGACACACTTACACATGTACAAATATACATATGTATATTTAGTTAAATTGGCAGGAAGCCGCCGGTATATAATTAAAATAAATTTCTAAATTTTAATTTGCTATTATGAATTTCGGTCATACAATTTCGGTTGGACGATGCAGCGATAGAGGCCAATATTTGAGCGCAACTTCAATTGTTTATGTAATTAGTGAGTTCGGCGAATCGGCGTAGCATTAGCAAATATTTTACGAATATACATATATTTTTGTCTTAAATGTGTATATTTTACGAGTGACGTTTAACTAAATTTAAGTCTGAATGAGTAATGTCTGTATTAAAGCGTCAGAGCGAAAGTGTTATGTATTCTATAAAATTTATAAATGTTACCATTACTGACGAAGTTTCAAAGGATAAATTACAATGTACGATTAAAGTGGCTTGCCTAATTCTTATCGACAGATTTATAACACTAACTTGAATGTGACGTACTGCTTATATTATATAAGGATTGAAAAGTCTTTGGCCTGACGAATAGATCGCGCCACAAAAAATATCTTTTTTTGTTGCCTTAGAGTAGAGTACTTATATTAACTTAAATATAGTTGATGCATCATGATTATTCGCCGCAAAGTGACGCTTTCTCTGCTGTCTGCGTTTCTGTTTATAATGAAGAAAAGTGTTTTGTTTTAACATTATTATCTGGAGGAAAATAAAAAATAGGAATGCTTTAATAGGTGTTATTGTAAATATATCCCAAACCATTTAACGGCGTAGTACTGCTATGATTTGCTGAATCGCGGACCACCACAAATATTGTACTCTGTTCAGGAAGTCCACCAGAGGCCGTAACTCCAGCGAAAATCACGAAAAATCGAGAATTTTTTTGATGAACCATACATGCGTTAGTTAACTTTATTGATATCTCAAGAGAATGCGTAGGTTATATTATTCACTAATTTTTATACTCTCGCAACATGTTGCTACAGAGTATACTAGTTTTGTTCATCTAACGGTTGTTTGTATCACCTTAAACTAATCGAGTTAGATATAGAGTTATATATATAAATGATCAGGATGAAGAGTCGAGTTGAAATCAGGGTGACTGTCTGTCCGTCTGTCCGTCCGTCTGTGCAAGCTGTAACTTGAGTAAAAATTCAGATATCTTTATGAAACTTGGTACACATGGTTAGTATTGCAGATGGGCATATTCGGACCACTGCCACGCCCACAAAACGCCATTGAACAAAAAAAAAAAATGTGGAAAACGGTTGGCCTCAAGGGCCATCCCTGCAACTTCCCTCTAATTTCATACGCTAACGTTCAAATTTCGCTTTTTTCACTGCTTTTGAGCTCTTCGAAATTTTTCGTTTTCGATATCTCGCAAGTAAATCAACCGATTTTGACCCGGTTTGCGGCAAACGATGTGTTTTTCAAGGTTTAGAACTGATTAGTTTTTGGTGTCGATCGGTCAAGTCGTTTGGAAGAAATTCGAAAAAAACGATTTTTCAAAATTTTTATTTTTGAGATTTCTCAAAATCTACTGGTCCGATTGGGTCCAAACTCACACGAAATTCAAGTGCAATGAAACCCTTTGGAATGCCGTTTAGTTTATTCAAATCGGTTGAGCCGTTTAAAAGTTATAAGAGGGTCACATACATCCACACACACACACATACATCCACACACACAGACATACGGACATCATCGTAGAAATGTTCGGGGAAGCTTCCTCGACCCTCAAAACGTTGTTCTCTGTTCTGATCTGTTGAGAATTCGATTTTTGCAAAATGGGGTGAAACCAATATCTTCCCGATTTTTAGAAAATTTTCAATTTTCTTAGCGGGAAGTTAAAAAATTAATTGTCATTACCAAACTCCTCAATACGATACAATACTGTTATTTGGTATAACATTAGGGAGGGGCATCTGCAGTTTAATTTAAATTTTTTTTTAAAAAGTGGGCGTGGTATTAATAAATAAATGAAATTCTCGATAATAGTATGTTCTTGTGTGAAAAATGGGTTGAATCGTATCAATGCTTCCTTTATTATACAATTTTGCCAACACCTGACGTAATTTCCCTTGCAAATTGCGAGAGCATAAAATGTTCGGTTACACCCGAACTCAGAACTTCCTTACTTGTTAAAAATTAAACCTTTTGCGGGCTTGGCTGCCGTATTTTTTAGATATCAATAAATTAGGCACTCGAGTTCCACTTTCAAAGGAGAATGTGTTACTGACCTAATACCATCTGATCAAATATAACCCGGATCGGTCCAGACTGGTGCAATCTTTTTCTATGTTCGTTAGAAATTTGATCTCTATATGTCAATTGGTGTGTGTTTGGAAGCTGTTTGTTTACGACGCGTAAAGTTAATACTGCGTATTTTTTGGCAAAAAAAAAAATTAACAACAAAAAAGTTTCTGTATCCAATGGAATCACGTCTGTGGAATCGTGTTTTGGGGAGTCTGCTTATGAACACAAGTATCGCTTACGAGTATAGATTGACACTCAACACATTAATTTTTGTTTTGTTTATTAGGCGTGTTAATGCTAGACTCGTACCAAAAGACTTGAATCTTTTGTCAAAACGACGTCGAGCAGAGGTCGCAAAAGAGGGGCTTGACAACATAGCTGAGGACCCTACATTCATCAAACAGATTATTACTGGTGACGAGACATGGGTTTATGAATATGACGTCGAAACTGTCCAACAATCTAGCGAATGGCGCCCTAAAAATGAGCCGAAACCTTACAGGTTGTTTGAAAAGTTTCTGCCATCGAAATGAAAAAATACTGTTTTTGGCATGAAATATATTTTTTTATTCAATACTTGTATAGTCTCCCTGAACTTCAATACACTTATTCCAATCCTCCAATAATTTTATGCCATCCCTATAATGACTTTTCAGAAGAATACCCGTCTACGGCTATAATAACTTCTTCGTTCGACGAAAAACGCTTTCCACGGAATTTTTTCAGGTTTTTGAAGA